AAGAGCAATGGGCACCAGATCCAAGCTGGCAAATTGAACTGCAGAGAAAACAAAGGGTGATGGGTGAGGAGTTGTAGTGGATCTGTGCGGGTGATTTTAGATTATTGTGCATGAGCTGCAGGAAAAACTGGATGAGAAATGGGAAGAGAGAAGGAACAGCAGCGGGCTGAGGAAATCCCCTGCGCTGGAAATACAATGCGGGAGACTCACAGGAGGTGTTGTATGTGTGTGTCCCGTTCTGTAGCAATGATTCCCTCTGCCCTCTGCCATTGGCATGGTGCCGGGCCGGTGGCACAGCACTCGGGGCCAGTCCCGGCAGCATCCCCTGGCCCTGCTGGCCGCCGGTGGGTGCCCAGGGCTGCGCTCCGCTCTCGGGGCGGGCTGCACCGCGCTCCGCCTCCCGCGGCATCGCCGCTGCGGCGCCACCGGGGCGGGGACGGGGACGGGGACRGGGACRGGAGGGGGAGCGGCTCTGCCCTGCGCTCCGCCTGCCACAGTCCCGTGGAGAGCCGAGCCGGGCTGTGCCGAGCCGGGCTGTGCCGTGTGTCCTGTGCTGTGTGTCCTGTGCTGTGGATGATGAGCGCGGGAGAGCCATAAAGCAGCGTCTGGGGCCGGGAGCGCCTGCGGCCACTTCCAGGTACAGTCCGTGAGTCTGCGGTGCGTCTTGTCCGTCCGTCCATCCATCTGTGTCTTCTTCTTGCCATCCGCCTGATGTTTAATCTCCTTCCTGGCGCCCAGCTCTGTACAGACAGAGCTGCTCTTTTTTGSGGTATCAGCATATTGGGGAAGCGAGAGACACTTCACCCCAAAAGAAGAAGCACTTGGCGGTGCAGTGATTGGGTCCTTCTCCTTGTCCCTTTCCCTGAAGTAAGATAGAACAAGGTCCTAAAACTGCACGATGTGATTTTTTTTTTTTTTTTCCTGTGGCTATAATCCTTGGAGGAGCTTTCCCTGTTTTTCTTTAAGCCTGTCAGTTCAAGTGCTTGCTGGTTTTCTTGGATGGGAAGGATAAAAAAGCACAGATTTCCCAGACTGKGTTTGTGGGGCTGAGTGAAATGGGTGTGCGGGAGGGATGTTTGTGTGTGTGTGTGTGTGTCCTTTGCTGGGCATCTGCTGAGTGTAACTGTGGTAAAACTTCACACTCCGGTGCTGCGTAAAGTGGCGGCAGTTCAGGGGTACAAGGAGAGTAAGGACTGTTAAATGACCCAAAATCAGTGTTAAATGACCCAAGACCAGTGTGTGTTGCTCATCAGCTACATCTACTACGTTGTGCTCAGTCCAGGCTGTAAACTAAGGCAGCYCTAACAAGCAGTGCCTCCCAGTCTGCCTGTGTGTAGAGCTAAATAAAGCGCTGAGGGATGAGGAAATCTTTCAGGGGAGTTCCCCTGAATAGARCGGAGGAGGGCTGACTCCTCTCAAAGGGCAAGAATGGTCTGAAAAATCAAAAGAGCCAGGAACAAAGAGGTGCTCTGTACCTCGGGCAGCTATGCAGAAGAGAGGAATGTTGAGGGGGTTGCTGTCAGTGAGATTACCGCCTTGGTGGGCTGAGATAACGTGCCATCTGTGGAAAATTGGGACTTGGGTGGGCAGGACTGCGTCTCTAGGCTGTCTCTTTATTTTGAAAGCTGAGAACAGCTTTTTGAGGTATGGCTTCCTCAGGCTTATCTTCAGGCTTCCAAATGAGATGCCTTGGAGAGCAGCTGATAATCAGCTGAAAATCGATGCTRAATATACTCAAGTCAAGTAGCAAACTGATGAGCTGTGCTGGAGAGAACTAACAGGTAAGAGAAAGCTCTGATTTTGGATAAGCCCTGGGGATATAATTCTTTTGATCAGCAGGACTGAAACAAGCCACTGTAGGTTTTGTTAAATCTTTGCAAAAGAAGAAAGAAAATACTGATTTACCAGGGGTTAAGCTCGCAGCTGTGCCACACACTGAGCAAAATGCTTTTTTTCTTTTTCTTTTTTTTTTTTCCTATGGTGCACTGAATCCCTGTAGGTTTACATTCCTCATGGTTTCTTTCTGCTGAGGTTTTGGGGCCAGCACGGTGTGTTGTTGCTGTGCTCCAGGTGTGTGGGTTATCTGAACAGTCTCCGAGGATTGCAGAGTCACCATACCTGTTCATGATCTGCGGGGTGAGCTGCTGTAACACTGTGTCAGAAGTGACAGGCACAGTTCAACCCCGGAGCAGCATCAGTGAAGGAGGATGAACTGGAAAAGTTGACAACATGGGACTTCATTTCTGTAACTGAGGAGTTAAAAAGCGTGTTTTTCTTGGGGTGCAGACAGGAAGGAGCTGTGTTTGGATCATACTGTGCTGCACATCGCTGCGAGGGGCTGGTGGTGTGACACCTATTAGGGCTGATCGGAACAGGTTGCCCGCATTTCAGAGGAGGAGGCGGAATTTGTGATTGCACACGCTTTAAGCGCTTTTTCCAAATGTTAGTAAACACACAGGTGTACTCTGCAAGCGCTGACAAGTGCCCTGTGCTTGGCATGGGTATGAGGACTGAGCCACATCATCTAATAAACACGTCGATAGAAAATGAGCTTGTAAACAGAAGGGAGCATTTTGCAGCCACAGCAAGACAATACATAATTTACAAACAGGAGGCAAAACTCCAGCTGAAAGCTGGAGCTAATTTCTCCTCTATTCTAACTGCTCTGAGAAGTAGTATTAAAAAACTAAATCACTGCGGTGAKGAACCTGAATAAGTAGCATTTAGTATGGCTGTGTTTTTAAATGGAAAATGTGCAGGATCATGACAACAATCCAGCTCACTCTCCCTGGGCGGCTCTAGAATAGCACTGCATGACTCAGATCCATGCATTCTGACTCTTTTGGGTTTGATTCATTAAAATGCATCTTGTCCCCAGAATAAAATGTTCCCTGGGTCACTTGCCCCTCCCACAGAGTCAGGTAYTCTGCTCTCTTCTTGTCACAGCTGGAAATAGGGCCAGAAATGCCAGGTAACACATCATTAGAGAGAGGAGCCTGATGGAGTTCTGCATCAGCCAGCCCAGCAAGACGTTTGGATTCTTAAGGGGTAAGACAGAGGRTAAATAAGCTTGAGTCAGATTGGGGAGTGGGGTGTTCTCTGAGATAATTGCTCTCATTGATACAGGGCCGGGTGCTTTCTGCATGAATGTAGCGTGCTGGACTGACAGTACTTGTCCATCAGGACTAGAGTTGATCCTCCTTTAAACATCCTGCAGGGATTCAGACACTATTAGGCCGCRTTTTTAATGATCTTTTCACAGCCCAGCGTGGTGTACATTTGCTCAATACCATATCTGCCGGGTGGTGGCTTAATAGGTGTCATTGTTTCAGGGCAAGGAGCATTTGACCATCGATTGCAAAGCCCAAGGGTCCACCCTGAGTCGGGCACRGGAACTGCTGCTGGGTCTCAAAGGCTGACACAAACCAGCCCAGGCAGCATGTGTGGGGAGGAGATTTCTGCTACGAGCCTGCCTAGACTAGGGAAAAAGCTCTTTTCACTCATTTTGGCTATAATGTGCTTCTCTTTGATTTCCCAAGGAGTCAATCAAGCTGATTGCAGACAATTGTTTTACAAGTCCTCTGCAGCTCAGACCCAACTTTGGTCTAGAAKCCTCTGGCTGATACCCAGCCTAGACATAGAAGTGTGTGAGGCAAGTATAACCAATGCAGATAAGGAGCTCTACTTCCTTTTTTAACTGCCAAAGTGGAACCATCCATTTTTATCTTCAACCTAGGCATTGGAAAGTATTCTGTTGTTGTGTTGGTGGTTTTTTCACCGAAGTATTTCTGTTGCAGAAACTGTAAATATCCTGCTTCCAACCTGCTCTATGTCAAAGTGTCAGTAAAATCTCTGTACTATTCTTGGAAACATTAAGGACTTGGCGACTGGGAAAAAAAAAGATCATATTAATTGTTTGCCTTAAATCCAACATTTTTTCTGCATCATCTAAATGGCTAAGGGGCATTTGGCAATGAGGTCTTAGCTAGAAGCAGTTAAATGAAATTTAGTACTGTTATTTAGCACTACAGCTTGCTGTTGTAAATTATAACTTGGCTGCCTGTTATGATTACAAAAGGGAAAGGTGTTTTGTTTTGAAGGGTACTGTATGTTGCACCAAAAGGCCAAGCAGGGATCTGCAGTTTTGGAATTCAGAAGGTTGTCTTGCTTTGAGGTTGAAGAAGGAACCATGTCAAAAGAGCTTCGTGCCTAAGGCTAGTACCATGCTGCTGGCAGTAATATGTTATGTACCTTCTGTGCACCTTTTGGAAAAAGATCTTAGTGCTTAATGAAAGGAAATAACCCYATACTTATCCCTCTTTGTACTGTCAAGCAGAGGAATGAGGTAATGAGAAACTGAGTGGCTTGACTAAAGCCACGTGAGGAGCTCGTAGCAGAGTCAGAAACAGATCCAAATTACCAGCTGTCAGGTCAAAACTCTGGAATGACGCAGCTTCTGTTGGCTGTGGATGGATATGGGAACAGCTCTGGATGAAGCTGACTATCCCTCTGAGATGGTCCAGACCCACAGTTGCCTACTGCCCATGTAGATAGAGAAGGTGGATCTTCTGGCTTTGATCACCCTTGCATGGGTTAGGATTACATCCCTGTCCCATCCCTGTCCCATCCCTGTCCCATCCCTGTCCCATCCCTGTCACACAGAATGGATCACATTCCCCAAGGTTCATAAAAGGCTAATACCACAAAGATGCTCTTCTGGTGATAGTGCAGGGGAAACTGCTCCCATCTCCGTTTGAAACATCAGATTTCACTTTGATCAGATTTCAAGTAGGCAGGAGGCACAAAGCGCACTGCAGAAATGATGCAGAGTGCACAACTCTGTAGATACAGAGCTGCAGGACTCGTGTCAGAGTTCTGATTCACTGGTGGGGGTAGCACAGCGTGGATGGCATCACAGGGCCCATCTGCCCACCCCACCCCACCCCACGCCCCATTCCTGGACATCTCAGCCATAGTGAATCAGCTGCTGAATCACTCAGTGTGATGGTTTGGAGGAAAACATCACTGCTGTTCGCTTGCCTTGAAACTTCTGACCTCAGAATGCAGCAATCCATCAGCTGATTGAGGAGCAGCATCTCTGCTGCCACTCAGCACTGGAGGAGCTGGGATGGTGAACTCCTCCAGTGTGAGGAGCTCTGCACCTTGCTGGTGGGTGGAAGCCCTGACAAACCAGTCTGCAGCTGGCTGATTAGAGAGGTGGGACTTTACTTTTTTATGGCTGTAATATTTAAGTACAAATAGAGCAAATGGCAAAACTGTTCYRTGCTTCACTGGGTGCAATAARTGGATGCTGTGTGCKTCTAAAATCCYCATCCTSCTTCAATAAGGTAAAKAAATGTAAGGYTTAATAGCTTTCCTGTGTTTTCTTTGCATTCTTGTACTGTCATGCCAAAGTTATCGATTTTGCCATCAGCAGTTGTGGCCAATTTCTTAACATTTTGCATTGGTCAGCCAGTAGATCGTCTGCCTTTCTGGGTGGTATTTAATTTGGTACAAAATTTAGCGCACAGGATTGAGGAGATCATACTCAGCTTGTGCATTAGTTTGATTTCAAAGTTCTTGCAGGACAGTCCATTTATGAGCTTTTGTAAAAGAAATAAATCTTAGGATGAGGGGAAAGAGGAATTGAATATGATCCCAGTATTAGTTATCCATCAAAACTTCCTTGCTTTCAGGCCAGCTGCTTGCTCAGAMATTTTGGTAGAATAAAGTAGCTGTATGTGTTGTGTGTTGTTTCAGATGGGAGAGATTTCTGTCTGTTGTTTCAGATGTGAGATATTTCATTGAATCCTTTGGCTGGCCTGAGACTCTTGTGCATCTTTTCCCATTGCATTCATTCTGTAAATCTCTTAAATKTTGCAGGTGCATGCAATGAAATGAACTTTCCTAGAATCTCTTGTGCCTTCTGACATTTAGTTACTGCAGAGCTAATCCAGCATGTCACTTATAATATATGCTTATCCTGTTTGGTTCATGTTTTAAACTTCCCTTCTGAATCTGGGATTATCAGAAAATGTGCAAGGTTATAAAACCCCACACTTATATGAGAACAGCTTTATTTTGCATTCAGATGGTGAAAAGACACCATYCAAATGTAGAAATTGACCCATAAAATTAAAAACAACTTACAAATGAACTTAATGAGAAGATAAATCCATCAGTTATGGAGGATACTTCATATCTTTTTAAACAATTGTGGCCTCCTCAGTTTTAACCTACAGATGGAAATCTCAGCAGCACTGTGGTCATGGCAAGGGATAAGTGCTTTAAGAAATAATATGTTATAGGTGTGGCATCCTTTTAGTGTCATGTGTTTGGAGGCTGTTGCTTTTGTGTGTCCAGCAACACAGACAAATTGTATCATGTGTTTTGTTTGGGAGGAACATGTGTCCTGTCCTCGCCCTGCACTGAGTAATTTTCCTGCAGCWGGGATTTTTGCCGTGATGCAGTCTGCCTGCATGTGCTTGTCTGGCACTGCAGCAGTGCTGCCACAGCCACCCTCGGCATCCTCAGACTCATTCACTCTTCCTGCCCCGCTGAAGAAAAGGATGGGAAAAGGACAGATGGAGAGCTGAGCTGTGGGGCTTAAGCAGGGGGCATAAATTTACAGCACATCAGCAACAAAGAGGAACTGGTTTGTTTCCTTCCCCTTTTCTATGCTTGCAGATTTGCTGAAATTCAAGGCATTCTTAAACCCCCCTTAATGTTCCTAATGCTCCCAAGTAAACACATGAATGTATTCATACCCATCACACCTTTGCAGTTCAGTATCCAAGGACTTTAGTTTGGAGTCATTCGGGATTCACTTAATTACTGTGCCAAAGTTCCCATACGTGAGTGATCAGTCAGCAGTGCTGCATCTGACCTTCCCACATCATCAGCTGGATCTATTTATAAACCCAAGAAAGATGCACATTCAGGAGGAAAATGCCTCTACTCAAAATTCAGTCCCTGGTTTATTCTTTGCTTACTAAGATTTTTCACTTTCCTTTGCAGATGATTGTTGCCTGGGTGATTTTTGGAAAACTACAAAATTGTTCATCCTCTGCTGTTTTAATGAAACCAAAAARTACTTTAAGGTTCAGTTTGGTTTCTTATGTCTGCCTCAGTTCTTTCCTTGCCCTACSAGCAACTGTGCAAGGTGTATTTTCTACTCTTATGCCACTGTCCAGCATGGATAGTTTCAGTCTTCTTGTTCCTTTGGGGTGAATTTCTTATGAAAAGTTCTTAATCTTCCTCTCAATTTCAGGCTGTAAAAAGCTGATATCACTCCTCTTTTYATCTCCTATGTGAGTGAGGTAATATTCTGTACTTTGTCTGTTAAAAGATAGAGTTAATWAGAACTGATTCTAGGAAGGAACTATAACTCAAAGTTGGTGCTGAAGTCACACTCAGAGAATTGTATGGCAAATTCTTCACGAAGAGTGGAAGAAAGAAGGCTTGAGCTGGGATTGTTCTGTGATCTTAATTTCTGCAGGTAAGACACGTGAAAACACCCATCGTGGAGTTTTTCAGGTGTCTTATCTTCTCAGTAGCTTGAGCTGTAGAATTTCCCTTTACCTTTCAGTGCAGAAGAACAAAAGCTCTGTGAGCAAAGCACACACACGCAGAGCTGTACGGAATGCAGCGCTGTATGGAATGTGAGGGGTGGCCTCTGTGGCTGGGATGCTTTTGTTTTGGGCAGCCTGGGCGGGTGCCCCGAGCAGTGAGAAAGGATTCCAGCTACTCCAGCCASAGAGTTCAGCTTTATCAAGGGCCGGGCTCAGATATCTTTGCACAAACAGAGTACGGGGAGCAAACTACAAGAACAGAGACGTGCACATACCTGCGTGGGTGTGATATCACAGACATCACAGTGGTGGGGTGGCTCCTGTGGCTGAACTGTTGGCATGGAAGGTTGGAGGCTTTTTGGCAAAGGCTAAAAAGGCTAGGGAGACAAGGAAGGAGTGTAGGGCTGGGAGAATACGGGGAAATTATATAGGAAGCTAGGGGTAAGATCAGGAAAGCTAAGGGCCAGTTAGAATTGCGTCTGACCACAAAGACAGCAGCGGGGGACTTCTGTAGGTATGCTGCTAACAAAAGAAAGCTTAGGGAGAAAGGGAAACTTGGAACTTTGCTCCTGCAGGAAGTTAGTCTTTAGTTTTGCCATACCTCAGATGTATGATGGCATCCTCAGTAACAATGGTGGATGGTAATCACCTGCTAAATGTGGTTCTGGGTTTCTGGTTGTATAGGGAACAGCTCTTTCTGAAGTTTGCATCTTTTAAGGGGAGGAGTGCCTGGGGACTCGTAACAAACCCAGGCACCATTCCTCTGCCTGAGGGATACAGTGTGGGAGAAAACTGAACCTAACAGAGGAGGTGAAAATGTTTGGCAGTGGCTTTAAAAGCACCTTCTATGGCTACTATTGAACTTCTCAGTAAAAGGATACGACCTGTCTGTAGCGTTGCTTTTGTTTTTTGAATCTGACGTGCAGCCTCAGGTCTTTAGTATAAATGAAAATAAACCATTCCAACYCTCCAGTGTTTATAGTAGAAAACAGATTTTTTTTTTCTTTTTTTTTTCTATTTTTTTTTCTGTTGCTGAACATAAAGGTTTGGACAAGCACTTGGCAGCTTGGAAGGTTCCGTCTGATTCCTTTAGTTTTGCGAAACTGAAACTTGGCTCCTGCAGGAGGCGATGGGGGTTTGAGCACACCGTCTTTGGCTCTGATTTCCTGTTTATGGTGCTGTTATCGGGAAGGTTGAGATTTCTTTCTTGTCAGAGGCTGCTCAGAGGCAGAACATGGACTTTAAWGCCCAAGGTTTCATGTTCATAATGATACTAAATGCAGAAAAAACGTTGTATTCCTCTTTCCACAGTGCAGAGTTATTGACTTCTCTCTGTCACAGGAGAGCATCACTGGTAAAGCCAGGAAATTATTTCATTGCTCTTTYGTTCAAGTCTGATCTTTAATAAAATGAAAACAAAGCAGAACAAAAAGAAAGCCACTCTTTTCATTCTTGGAAAAAAGAAATAAAGACAGAGAGATAAATGGGTTTCCATGTGATTACGAACTAAATGTTTCCAAAGCCCACTTAAAAAGTTCCAGTTTTTAACTCCCAGGGTATTYTTCACTGGAATAATATTTCTTGTCTTTCTTTTCCAATTCCTGTTTGTCAGATTTTGTACTACTGTGCTTTATCAACACTTTTTTTAGGTCCCAAGATACCTCTGCTTTATGTGCCTTGGATTTGTGGACCATTATCTGCTTTGTAACCAAATTTCAGTTCCACTCAAGTTATTCTGAAGGCAGGGTTTGGCTTCAGCAGCTTTAGCTAAAGAGGCTTCTAATTAGAATTAAGCAWACTGCTTTGTGTCTCCACCTCCGCATAAAATACAGCAGAGGAGTCAAGGTCAAGATGGGAAAGGAGTCATGCTGGAAAAACACATGTGTGGTGTGAATCACCCCCTTGGCGATGCTGTATTTATCTCTGTCACATTTTAGTATCATCCCTTTCCATCACATGGAGAACATGTCCCGTGTCCTGTTCTCTTCCAAGTGAAATCCAGTTCTGACCATGCACAACATCACCACAACTTGGTGTCTCACTGAAACACCACTGAGCCCTTTCTGTCCAGCAGCTTCCACAAAYAGGGAGCAAACAAGTGAGACAGTATGCACCCTTCGGGACAGACTTTGGAGAATTTTATTTTATGGTTACAGTACATCTATTAATGGTCTATGGTTTTTTTGTTTTTTTTTTTCTTTTTCATGAGGCACTATGAGACTCTGTCTCTAAGCTGTCTGATTTGGGTGGTGAGGTTTGCATGAAATCAAAACTAATTGCTGGCTAGTCTGGCTAAATCTCTGCAGATCCCAGTCTCACCCTGAATTGGGCTGTTTTGGTTAATATGAGATCTGGATTGAAATAACTCCTTGGTGTTTTACAAGTGCTAATATTGGTGTCAAGTTGTTTTGCAGATGCAGACYAGCCTTTCTCACTTCCCTGTGGAGTGTTACCTTGGAGCCACAGTTCTACAGATTTTACACAGTGTTTACACACTGTTCACTACCATTTGCATTTTGACTGAATAAACTGCACTGCAGTAACTGGGAAAAAAATCTGAAATTTTGTACAAACAGGACATTCTTCAGTGCCAGTGGGCTGAAGAATATTTTGGAGTTAGTTCAAGTCTGTGGCTTTACATACACAGCAGGAAAGCCTAGGAAATGCTGCAGAAGATTCCTGTCAGCTCCTCAGTGAAGTTTTCTTCCTCAAACTGGGTTATCCTTGCAAAGAACCTGACAGTGCAGGAGTCTTTGTGCATCAGGATGCTTTAGTGGTGCAGAGCACAGCCGTGGCAGGGTTACACCTCACCTRCCCAGTGATTTGAGCTCTCTTGACAGGAACCTGTTCAGTTCAGTCCTGCACTCCACTCGTGTGCTGTGGCACGTGTATTTACTTTATTCCTTTCCCAGCCCAGGGGATGAATGGGATTGAATCGCTGGCTGAGCAGCTGCACYGAGTGTCTAATGTCACTTTTCAGACACGGAGACTTTTCAGTCTTTTCCATTCTGATGCAGATATCTTTTGGCACAGCACAAGGTGGGATTAGCGCAGGTCATGTAGGCCAGGAGGCTCTCTCCACTGTCCTTCTCTGCCTTTGTTTTTGGCTTTCTCTCGCTGTTTATTTACTGAGCACTCAGTCTTGTGCCGCTTTGAATGCCTTCATTGTCTGGACACATTGCCAGCAGCAGCAGCAAGTCTGTGTGCTGCTTCAGGTCCAAGCTAAGGAATCTGGCTAATAACGTAATAGCTTCTCATCTCCACCGAGCTCCCTCTGAAAARTGTTTTATTGTGGGCTGGGGAGCACACAGATGGCAGCTCGCTATTTATCTCCAGGCTGTCACATCGCTTCTTGTTCTCCAAACGGGGTGCCTTCACAGGCTGGTGTTTGCTGGGGTCTGTGGCTTTAAAGAGCCTTTTCCCGAATAGGGTTTGATACAATGGAGAGAAAAGAAACAGCATCTGCACTTACAATGATGGCTCAGAGGCATTAATGCTTTTCCCATGCACACACATGCTATGCCGACACTTTAGCACAGCAGCCTGTGGATATTGTCCTCTCAGGGTGATCTCCCTTGCCTTGAAGTTGTGGGGAGGATTGGAAGCAAAGTGCCGTTCCCTCCTGCAGTTTGTCTGTCTCTCCCTGAATGCCCAGCAGCACCCACAAGTGCTGTAGGAGAGTTAAAACCGGCAGGGTTTAGTGGTTAAAATTAGGCACAAAYTTTGCTTGCCATGGAGGCTATAAAATCTAAGTTCCTTAAACTGACAAGAACTGCTACTCCCAGAAAGCAGAGAAGGAGGGAGAAGGAAGGAGTTTATAACTCAACACTCAAGCAATCAGAGAGATTTTATCTTTTGGCYTTTTCAGATACTGCATCTCCAAAAGAGCTCTTGGGTGGTCACGGCCCCCTTGCTGCCCACCCACTGCTCTGAATGACTGAACAGCCTGCAGCACTGACTTATCTTTTCCTTGGAAAGACATTTTGATTCCACAGGCACTGAGATGCAGTCTGATGAGTAATTGCTTTATTTTTCCTAAAGCTGGAAAACACCGGGCTGGATCTTTCACATTTTCACAGAATTTAGAGAAAAGGTTTAACAAAACTCTGAGTCTGGTCTCATCTTTTATATCATTTGTGAACTTRGACAACAGTGGTAAGGAACTGTACACAGACAAATTTTTTCCAAATTTTGTAGAGCCACTCAGAGAGTAGGTGGAGGCAGATGCACTGAAGCATCAGGCTTTAGCCTGGGTCACACCTGTCACGGTGTTATTGGGAAAACCAAGCACCAGTTTAGCAGGGTGGAGTTGGAAAATGGGAGCTTTGGGATTGCAGTGACACAGCTGTCGTGTTKCATAAAGGAGACTGTCCTTTCACAGAGCTCTCCAGGGCTTCACTGCAGTGTGTCCCTCTGTGCTGGCTGGGGTGTCACAGTGCTGTCAGCCTGGGACAGCCTGGGCATGCTTCCCCAGCAGAGTGCTGCTCTCAGGGAGCTGCWTTCAGCATTTGCCCAAAGTTGTCGGTGAGCATTGTGCCACATTCCCAAAAGCTTTGTAGAAAATCTGAGTTCCCAAAGCCTGTCAGGATTCTTGTATCTCCTTCTATCTCTTAGCCTGGACATCTTTATCTGTCCTTTAATAAAGAAACAGCACGATATAAAAGAAGCACCTGGCAACTGTGACAGTGCTGAAAGCCTGTGTTGGCCCTYTCCTGAGAAGTCTGCACAGGCTTGAAAACTGTGCAAGTAACCCATGATGTGACACTGGGTTTTCATTCTAGTGCAGTACTATCTCTGGATGACAGAAAACCCCTCAGATTGTACCCTCTGAGTTATTCTTTATCCCTTTTGTGTCTCCTCAGGGAAAATGCCACAAACACCTCCCTTCGCAGCGATGTTTGACAGCAGCGGCTACAACAGGAACCTGTACCAGACCAAAGAGGACAACTGTGGAGGGCTCTGTTACCACGACAACAATCTGCTCTCGGGGTCTCTGGAAGCTCTGATCCAGCACTTGGTGCCCAACGTGGATTACTACCCTGATGTAAGTCTGCACACCAGGGTCTGATGTGTCTCCCAACAGGGAACTTTCCCATGCACAGCAAAAGCAGAGAGTGTCACACAAATGGCTGAGGAAGGATTCAGGAGGCTGAGCAGCTGTGATAAGATGTGTTTTACCTGAGTGCAGCACGCAGTAACTCACCTAATCTAGGAAGTCCAGTGCTTTATTACTCCTGTTGTAAGGTGAGCAGCCCTGGTGACTCAGTCATGAAGCACGTACCTAGACTGGCTTACTGCTTGATGGAGTGTATGTACCATTGACCCTTAAAAAYCTGCCAGGCAAGCTGAAGAGAAAGGCATGAGCACCGTTGGGACAGAACAAAAGTATTYATTGCAAAACCAAGCAGTTTTTAATGCATATTTCCCACTGCTCATCTGAGGTCCGCATGTATCAGCTGAGATGTTGAATTAGTACCACACTGGAGTCAGCAGAGATTGGATGTGAGAACAGGATGTTTGTCATTGAGAATTCTTGGCACACCCATTGAGACATTTTATATGAATCTTAAGAAGACAGAAAAGAATGATATCAAAAAGTGTTAGGAAAGGGCAGTTGGGGTTAACTGGGGGATGATGAAACTGCAGCTCTGCTCRTTGACATGCTCCTGCTGAAGGCATAACTCTGCTTATATTCAGCTTCTGTTATTGTCATAGATCTGWTCACCTTTCCAAGACAGGACCTTTTTTAACTTGGATCAGAATTAACAGCAGCCCAGCATTGTGCTTAAGCTAATACCTATCCATTAATGCTTTGTGCAAACTTCAAATACAAAGCAATTTTGATGCTGGTTGATCAAAGATGATTTATTCCAAGTTTCTAGAGCCAGAGCATTGTAGAGTCTTTCTGGAGCAGGTGCCATAGATACATAACTACTGGCAAAGTGGAAAATGGARTGGATATTCTGAATATCAAATTCATGAGTTCAAATCATGATACATGGAAAATCAAAGCAAAATAYGGAGCCTCTTCTTGTAACCTCTCAATGAGTCACTGATCTTTATTCCATTAAATTAAACTATGTTGTTCCCTCCACTTTCACCCAGGAYACAAAGGTTTACTGTAGAGCAAGAGGTGAGTTGAAATTTTATTCCAAGTAATTTCAGGTAATGAGCTTGTGATAAGGCTGTGTGCAATAGGAGAGCTAAGCCACCTCTGCCCTGCCTTGTTTTGATTTAATCTTGCATAACTTGGCTCAAGCACAAACTTATAACACTTTTTCTGGAGCAATGATAAGTGTTAAATGCTTACCTCTGTAGTAATTGCCTTTGGCACAGCCAGGTGCAGAGTTTTCTTCTGCAGATGGCAAAGTGTCAGGAACAGATTTGTCAGGAAGGCATTTTGAGGGAATATAAAAAAATGCAGGTAATTTATCCCTTTCTCTATCTTTTTCATGTTCTCAGAGGACGTACATCTTCACCTTCCTGCTCAGCTCCCGTCTCTTCATGCACCCCTACGAGCTCATGGCCAAAGTCTGCCAACTCTGCGTTGAGCAGCAGAGACTCAGTGACCCTGGCCTGGACAAGGTAAGATCCCACACTCTCAGGGACTTCCTGGTTCCCTGCCCAAAACAAAATGCTCCTATTCAASAGAGTCCTCAGTAGGATTGAACAGATTTGAAAACCTGACACAAGCAACTAGAATTTGACCCTTTATTCACGGAGATTCAYGGGAAATTTCCACACTGCCCAGCTTGTCCTCCATGAAGGCTGCTGCTTCTGCTGCATTGTTTGTTTCACTGAGAAAATCTCTGAAACAGTGTCCTGAACAGCCCAAAATCTGCCCTCTGAAAGTACAAGGCTGAGGTTTTGTTCAGCCCCCTCCTKACTTCACTGAGAATCAGAAATCATTTCAGGGTCACTCTGCCCAAAGCAGCCCCGACCACCACATGTCCCCRGCAGCCCTTCTCTGTCTGYAAACAGGTTTGTCACTGTAAGGAGTAGTGCATGCATAAGTCTTGGCACAACTGGRACTTGCAGCTTTCATTGTTGATGGTTTGTCACAAGTTCTGGAAGCATTAATCAATGCCTTGCACTGAGACACTCCTGATAATGAGGGGAGTCCTTTCCACCCAMCTGAGCCCTAATTTCCAGGTCAGTTAAGCCAAGGAGAGTCTCTTCACTGGCTTCCATGGTCATGGGCTCTGGCCTGTAATCCAGTGCTSAGTTAAGTTAAGCTTAAAAATTTCATTGACACTAACACCCTTCTGCTCCACAGTATCCAACAGAACAGAATTCTGTTTTCTTTGAGTTAGGTATTTCCTGCGCTGCTGTTACATGTAACATTCCTCGTTAATGTTTCCAAATAGAACTGGACACAAAAGATTGCACCAAAAATCCTACAGCTGTTGACTGAATGGACAGAGACTTTTCCTTATGATTTCCGAGATGAAAGAATGATGAGGAACTTAAAGGAGCTGGCGCAAAGAATAGCCAGTGGGGATGAGGTAAGTTGCCTGCACACAAAGTTATGGGATAAAAAGGCATTCCTTTTACTGCTTTGATATKGCTGTTAATAACATGGTGGGGCTCTGGGTGCTTAAGAAAACTTATTATGAACATGCTGGGAGGCGAAAGGTTCTGTCTGTACCTAAGCCTAGGACGAAACCACCCAGCRTAAGCAGATCTTTTCCAAAGCATTGCAAGCTTCTCTCCATCCCCAAGCCCATGACATAATCCCACATTGTGCAGACAGGCACAACTTGGTGGATGCTGGTTTTTATCATTTCAGCAATTCTGCTTGAAAGAAGCTAGCTAGGACAACAGCTGAGAAATCCCTGTCAATGTTGATCATTTCTTGGGTAAGGTKTATTGGAATTGGACCTTTGACCTCTAGGTCAATGGAAAAGTAGATTTGGGGAGAAATTTCTAAAAGAGGACTGGACCAAGAAGAATGGTCTTGAGCTTAAGATATCTACTCAGAGAAAACCTGTCGTATTGCTTCCTGTGGATGGAACCCACAAAGAGATCACCTGACCTTTTTTCTAAATCACACTTTTCCGATGGAAGTAAAGTTCCACGTGGGTATTACGAAATACTGCTTTTCTTTTAAGTACTGAAGTAAACTCAGCCAAAAGGCAAGGGTTATGTTTACTCAGTGGAAGGCGATTAAGGAGGTTTCAGTAGGCAGATCCTGTGTAGCTGGCACAGTGCTGCGATTGCAAAAGACACTGGAGTGGCATTTGGAAGAGCTATGAACACACAAACAGCAATTGCCACATGGCATTGTGTTTCCAGTGTTCCTCAGGGACTGGTGTTCCTTATATAAGCTTTTGAATGATGGTAGGGATGAGGCAGCAAGCAGCACATTAACAGGCGTGGGGGTAAGCTGGGCTGGGAGGAGCTGAGAGTGCTGCCAAAGGCCCAGAAAGATTTGGGAGGCTTTAGAAAAGGATGGAAGAGAACAAACCTAAACTGAACTTGGAAGCTGAAAAACAGTGTTGTCAGAGTGGGGAATGGAGGAAAATGGGGCTAGAGAGTGAGAAGCAGTTTGAAATACAAATGAAAGACAGAACCAATTTSATGGGCAAGCTGAGGGTTGCTGCCAGACAGCTCCAAGGGAGCTTTGGAATGGGAAGAGACAACAGGTTTGCCTTCACTCCAGGGGTGCCAGATGCCACTGTTGCTTTGTTTCTTCCTCTTCATAGGAAGGTAGGAAACTGAAGTTCAGTTCAAGGCAAAGTAATTAAGATTGAGGGCTCACACCCACTTGAAAAAGACTTACTGGCCCAAAAAAAAAAGAAGTGTTTAGCCCAGAGGGCACTGATTTGGTGGATGCAAGAGTGAAATGAGGAAAGGGAAGAGCTGTCTGCAGTGAAGTTTCTGGCAATACAGACAGTTTAAACAGTGAAATCATCTACTGAAGGGAAAGGCAGATGTACAAAGCTGCTAGAAAAGGAGCAAAGGGAGCAATCTTATCTGCAGAGTGCTATAAATCCTTTCTAGATGCTGCTTTGAGGGTTTTTCAACTTTGAGGTTTCCTTTAGAGAGACAAAGTGAGAGCAATTGCTGCAGTAAATTGGCTTGTTTTATTGTGAACTGCTTGGAGCAGTAAATGGCAACTTCCTTGACCTTGCTTTTCAACAGATCACTTGGATTTTTGTGAGTCATTACCTTAAAGGACACAAAAGAGGCAGTTTCCTTCTGTTCACTACATTTCTACTTATAGCTTCTTATTTCACTTCCTGAATTATTGTACTCCAGTTCTTTTAGGAGCTGCTAGTAAAAATTCAACCAAAACCTCACCATGCTAACATTGCTCCTTAAAAACAACATCTTTGGGTAAAGTTTTGGAGAAAAGGACAAATTCATCAGAATAAAGGAAATACTGCTGCCTTGCACTGATTGTACTACAGCATGCAGAATAGATTTTGGATTATTCTTTTTGAAGCCACTTTGGTTTTGCTTTAATGGCTTTAGGATGATATGTGGAAACTGGGACACCAATTATAAATTATATATATATATATATAAAACCACTTTGGTTACACAGATCTATTTATTTAAGAGTTGTGTCCTGCTCCTGCTTAAATTTGTCACTCCTGTTAACTTAAATCACTGCCTGGACAGGCCTGCAAAGGTGAAAGAAGAGTAAATTGGTTGTATTATCTTYTCCTTTTTCTCAGATTCACTGGAAGTTTTAACTCTGACTTCAGTGAAACTGGTTTTGATTTGCTGCAGAGAGAAGCAGGTCCTTTATTTATCACTGAACAGACAAACACCGGGTTTTTTTGTGGTCTTAAGCAGGAGAAGATGAGGTATTTTCATTTCTTGTATTTCCTTCAGTGGTTGGGATTGAGCACATCTTTTCTGTTGTTCCTTGAGCCAACTGAGTCAATATTGAACCTGTGAGACACTCACTCTTTAAACCCTCAGCTGGATTCCTTTTGGTCCAATTAAATGGAAATATTACAAATATTACATAATAGAGCTTATCTTAAGTTGACAACAAACACAGGTAACAGCATCCAACTCTTAGGGTGTCATGCAGGCTTTAATGTTATCTTCTGACATTTTGGAAGTGTTTTCTGATGGATTGATTGAYTGATGTGGTTACAGATGTACCGGAAGAACGTGCAGCAACTCCTCCAGAGCCTGATTCGGAAGCTGGCCGCCGTTACCCAGTATGAGGAGGTGCTTGCAAAAATTGATGCCACCACATCCACAGATCGCCTGACCCTCCTAAAGACCAAGCCCCAGTCCATCCAGAGGGACATAATCACAGTCTGCAATGATCCCTACGTGTTGGCTCAGCAGCTGACGCACATAGAGCTTGTGAGTTGTTACGCTCCCGAGGATGACTTCGCCCTTCCCCTCTTTTTGAAGTGCAGGCTAACAGGGKATATGACTTGGCTGCTTCTGTGTTTTATTTAGGAGAGACTCAATTACATTGGACCAGAAGAATTTATCCAGGCGTTTGTGCAAAAGGATCCTTTGAATAATGACAAGGTAATTGGAGCAGATCTGGAGCAGCTCTGGAATGTAGCRTTTACCATCAGGTGCACCATGAACTGCAAGTGAGGGCCAGCAACAAATGAGGACTAGTAGAAAACAAGTTTAGTATTCCCATTAAATATTCTGTTWATGCTTTTTTCTTTCTGGAGGACAATTCCTGAAGCTCCAGAACTCAGCCGATAAATTGACTTAAATGAACTCATTTCCTGGGTTTTCAGACTTAGGCTAAGGGAGAACTTAATCCTGTGAATGTTTTCCCCAGATCATCTATGTGGCCTSCAGCTGGAAGAGGCTGAGTTTAACTTTGGCTTCTGCATTATTAATTTTCAACATCTGCTCCTCCTTTTAGTAAACTCTTCCTTTAGTGAACTCTTTGCACGTGGGGCAATTTGCAGGTAGAGCAGACATAACAAAAAGGGTGCAGAGAACTCTAGATCTGTGAGAAATGAAGGGCAAACATGAAGAGTTTTTAACYAGATGTGGTAGCTGTCATCTCCTTGAGTGCTGTTTTCAAACTGACTTAATTTTTTATGTTTTTCAAGATGACTTAACCTCTGTAAGTAAACTGTGACAAAGTCAGTCCATTAAAACTTGAATTAAAGCTGACAAACAGAATAGAATAACACAAGTTTACAATTTGATTTTCCATCAGATGGTCTCTGAAATTGATATTCCAAATAGAGATCACTGAATCTCTTGTCTGCCCCTTTTTTAGGCAACCCTGAGATGTGTGTGGGAATGATTCCAAGATGATACAGAATGGCACTGCTCAGGAAGGGGAGAATCCTATCAGAATGGTAGAGCTGATCTCCCAAAGTCAGGATGCAATGCATTCGTTTGTCATCAACGTAATGTGCCCTGTCTCTCTTTTCCTGCTGCACCTGCAGGGAGCTTGATGTCGTATCTGCTCTGTCAGTGGGACAGGAATAAGGACTGAAACAGTGTTCAAGGGAGATTTATGCAGACATTTAGCCCTGACTGTTTACATAAGCCTGTCCTAGGTCCTTAAAGCATCCCAGCAGGACTTAAAGCATGTGGTGGGTTCCAGATGCCTGTTCAAGTGCTTTACTGGGCCAGCAGCTCAGAGGGAAGTTACACGTGCTTAAATACCATCATTGCTGCTTCCCCTCTATGCTTTTTGATATGTTGGGTAATTTGAGTTATTCCTGGTTGCGTGGGAATGGCAAGGCAGAAAGCCAAAAGGTCTCACACAGGGAAAAGACAAAAATTGTGCTAAAAGTTGCTGKTTTTCTTCTGTCTGTAGAGCTGCTATGGAGAGCGAAAGAAGGCTCGGAATCTTGAAGCCTACGTGGAGTGGTTTAACAGGCTCAGTTACTTGGTTGCAACAGAAATCTGTATGGTGAGCAAAGACTTTTTGTGCTGAAAGKTTTTGTTTAGTCTGGTTTCTAAAACTGCGAAGCCTTTTCAGGTTTGGTACCTTTTGGACTTTTCATTGGTTCAGTTCTGTGATGTTTTGGAGCACAATGGTGTGGCTCCCTCCATATGTAAAGGACAGTGTGAAGCTGTGACACACATGGAAAAGGTTTTTAACAGGGGTGTTATTTTTAGAGGGGATGTGTCTGAGTGCTGTTTCCTGCTGAGCATAACCCTACAAATGCATCTCTTGCAGCCCGTGAAGAAGAAGCACAGAGCAAGAGTGATAGAATATTTCATTGATGTGGCACGGGAATGTTTTAACATTGGCAACTTCAATTCCCTAATGGCTATTATTTGTAAGTAATGGGTACTGAGAGATTATTTTGTCTCTTTTTGAATAAATTGAATAAAGGAAGCAGAGTGCTTCACACAGAAGTCTAGTGCTTAGCTTGGCCTGCTGCATGAAGTTGCTCCACACTGTTGTAGTGATATGTGTGTCRTATAAAATTGATATAAACTGAAGTTTTCATTGCAACTCTTCAGAGACTGAAATCCCCACTTTTTGAAACCAGCTTCAGTGCCAAATTGAAATACTTCSCCTGCAATATGGAGATTTGATGTCTTCTGTCATTTCTATCACATCCTAGTGGTTTAAAAATTCCACACCTCTGTATATCTGATAGGAAAATACTGGGAATATTTTTTCTAATTTGAAATGTGAAAACTTCATAGTTATGTGTAGTTTTCCATGAAGTATGTAAGAGATGGTGTTCAGAACACTCATTTGAGCTTTTCTACTATATATACATGTTTTATCAAATCCACATTAAATAATAACTTTTTTTAGAGCTTTCATTCCATAAGAGATGTAGATTTTATTTCCAATGCCATTTTGGAATTTAAAGAAAACAATGACTCTGATTTCTTGAGTCGCTGTTGAAAATGTTTGTTATTGTTAATAGATTCTTTGCTTTAGAAATACTAGTCCTAGCTACCTGAAGGACTTTTTTCTTTTAAATACTCCAACAATYTCTTTCTCTTGTATCAAGCTGGCATGAACATGAGTCCTGTGTCTCGACTAAAGAAAACATGGGCCAAAGTGAAGACAGCCAAATTTGATATCCTTGAGGTAAGTTTGGCTAATATGTGGACAGGGGGCTGTTAATAGCATTTTACTTTTAACTTCTTTAAAATGCAAGTTTGTCTTCATTATGACATTTAATTTAATGTACTTGTGCTCTTAATCGATATTCTAGACAATATAATAAAAATTGTCCAGCTGACTGCTGCTCTTTTCATTTGGAAGAAGAAAGTTTGTTTGTTTGGACTCTTTAATTCCCAAAGCCAAAAAAAAATTTAAAAAAAAAAAAAAAAGCTGAAAAAAAATTGATTGGCAGTTACCTTCAGGTGGTAGAGGCTTTGGTCAAAGAATATGCAGGTGCAGCAGTGTAAGAGTTTGTGATTTACCTAAGAGAATATGTACTGGATAATGATACATATTTGTTGTGCTGAATGGACATGTATTAAAATAAAGTTCTCATTGAATGAACAAATAAAAGAGATACTGCAGTCCTCTACAAAGTTGTATTTGTGGGGCTGTTCAGAAGACCTTTTCCTATTTAAGAGTTGCTCAGCTGAAAAAGGATTGTGTGTCTCTCATTATTTGCATTTTTTCATGCCTTGTAGCATCAGATGGACCCTTCTAGCAATTTTTATAATTACCGAACTGCTCTGCGTGGAGCCACTCAGAGGTCCCTGACAGCTCACAGCAACAGAGAGAAGGTGTGTTTGCAAGTGGCTTGGCAGTGGGGAAAAGGGAAATGTGCTTGTTAAGTTGCTTGGTAAACCTTTATCCTGGAACTCTGATTCTCAGCAGCTCGGGTTTATAACCCCTGGTGGGCTTATAAAAAGCTTATAAAAAGCCAGGTCAGTTTGATGCTGACTGCAAGTCCAAACATTAAATGATCACTTTGTTAATTTAAGTAAAATAAGTACATTGCCTCAGCTCTTCTTTTCTTTGACAGAGACCTGTATTTCACAAATTCATAGCACAAATGGAAAGATTGAGGACTCACATGAGGTCACAAGTACTTTGTTCTTATAGCTGCTAYTTGTGCTAAAGTCTAAGTGACTCGTGGCTTCAGGTGGAAAAACTTTAAAACTTATTCATAAAAGGTATTTTAAAACTCAAATCTGGACAGAGCTGTGGAGTTCTCATCCTGTGTATAGTCTTTAGATKGAGAATSTCAGCTGTAGTTCTTATGGAAAATAATCAAATAGCTTCCTAAGTGCTCTCCTCTTAGAAACACTTGCTCATCAACTCCTTATGATGTTAGGACTTCATGCTGCATTTAATAAACATGATCTTGGAGTTCATGGAATACACAGACAGGAAGATGAAACAAATCCACATGCAGTCTGCTCGTCTATACTGTTGTTATACATGGAATGTCTTTCTGAGTCCTAAAGATCTGTTCACTTATCATTCAAAGTAGCAGAAGTTTAGGTGTAAGAGGCTGATTTCTTTTCAGAGAAAAGTCGCTTTAAGATTTCAAAGAAAGAACTTGCAGGTACTGAAATATAGTACAATGAAGTGTTCCATGGAAATAATAAATGGTATTTGCTTTTTCCCCCCATTGTAATGAGGATGTGTAGCTGTGAAAAATGTCATAGGATGAAAATGAAAATAGAACYATTCTATTCTGGCATTCTCCAAAGAAAATTCTTTTTTTCAGTTGGCAGGAAATGCTTCATTTCAAGCCAATCAGTACCAAGGTTCTGTGACTTGGCATGGAACCAAACTGTAGTTTGAAAACCRTTTGTGCTGCTACCCCAATAATCCCTGCTGTGCTTTAATGTACATCTGCCCTCCTTCACTAAGCAAATCCTGTCCAGAGGGAAAGCCACACCACGAGATACCCTGCAGGAATTACATGCAAGAAGTAGGTGCCTCTGAGCATTTATGTCCTGGAATCTGCAAGGAAGAAGGAAAAAATGAAAACAAGAGGGACATGACATAGAAATGAAGGGAGGACTTTTCTGTGGAGAGCCCTGTATTTTAAAATGCCGTGAATGCACAGTTTTRTGTAGAGATGTAGAGACCTCAGTTCTTCAGTGTTTTGCTTACCTTTTGTGTCACCTGACTTCCTTTCATTTTTCTGTGCAGACTATTGTGATTCAGGGCCAGACTGATAATAATGCTGTTCTTTCCCTAGATCGTGATTCCTTTCTTCAGCCTCYTGATCAAAGACATTTACTTCCTCAATGAGGGTTGTGCCAACCGCCTTCCGAATGGTCACGTCAATTTTGAAGTAAGCAGAGCACYGGGCGGGGTTTTAATAAAGAGTCAGGTTTTAATACAGCCCCTTCAACAGAAAACTGAAGCAGATCATGGTCCAGCTTCCACTGGATTCTGGGAGAGCAAACGTACACTGGAATTTGAGAATATCCATTACTTCTCAGAGAAGCTGGGAGGTAGCCAGGAAAAAGCAGTTTTATCAAAGATGGAGTGTTTACAGAACCTTTCAATATTTACAATTTTTTTTAGTGCAGGGAAAAGAATCAGAGCTTTTTCCCAGCTCTCAAATTCATCTTAATGTTTCAATTCTCAAGTTTATTATACTTAATGATAAAATCATTCTAATTAGTATTTTAGAGCTCATCTTTTAATTCCTCACATAAAAGATCAGTTCCTCCTCTGTCAAGATAAATAGGCAGTATTTTCATGGATGTAAGTCCCAGACTGTCTCTGAACAAATCTATGACAGAGCAGCAGTGGGGGAGTTTTGACTCTCTTGTCTTCCAGTAGTTCTTCTGCATCTGATTTCATACTTGTTATCTGATTTGTTTCCTGGTACTTTCAGTTTTCCAGAAGCCTGGGTCATTGACACAAAAGTGCAGTACACCTGTGTTGTAGTCATAGGCCTGAATTAGCCTAGAGGATCTAAAACCAGGCTGTGCAGTGACCTGGAATGTCCTTTTGCTCAAGGAATCCATGTGCACTTGAGGCATGTTAAACTTTAATTGAAAGAGTTTATCAGTTAATGACATCAACACACTACATGGGGAGTGTTTGTTTTTGGCATAAATTTTCCRTAAGAAAATAGAGCATTTCTGATCAGCCAACTGACAGGAAACATCTGGATTTTGAAATGTCAGCATTATGCATCTGATGTGAAAATCACTGTGTGTTTCACTGCAAAACAAAAAGCATGAGAATCATCAAAATTAAAATTTAGGCATAAGGACTGTTACTAGCTCCTTGAAAAAAAACTATGTGCAGTTTATGACTACTATATTTGTATCCTTAAATAACAGCAGTTTTAAGAAGGTGAAGGAGTGGGAAGTTACCACAGCTTGAAGCAGGAATATAAAAGTTAAAAGCTGAGTTGTTGAGTCAGGTTATGTTCAATTCTATCATAAAAGCTGAGGACAATCAAACCTTGGTCTCCAAACCATGATCTCTCCGTCTTTATAAAACATGTTCAGGGTAATGCTGTTCAATATATAACACCTCTTCTGTTTCGTATTCTGACAGAAATTTTGGGAGTTGGCAAAGCAAGTCAGTGAATTTATGGCCTGGAAGCAAGTGGAGTGTCCTTTTGAAAGGGATTGGAAGATTCTGCAGTACTTGCTGACTGTCCCAGTCTTCAGTGATGATGGTAAGGAGCTCTGCAGAGCTGGTGCCACTGGCTGCTGCTTAATCTCTTTCCATGTTAAATTGTGTCTTCCTCCCTGTAAAGAAGGACTGTCCTGAAACATCTCTGTCTGGCAATAAAAATTGCTTCTCCTTTACAAATGACAGAGAAGGTAAGATTTTTTTTTTTTAATGTGCATATAGTCTGTAAGAATCAACATTAATTCTGAAACAGAATGGGCTAAATTGATGTGGTCCCTCTAAATGTCATATGAAATGTGYTCATAGGGACTTTCAGGATACTTGTACTAAAGGGAGCTGCTTCAGGAAAAAAGAGGGACTTCAGTGGCTGCTTACAAAGCACCATGTCCCTGGGCTCGTTTTGTTTTCTCTTGAGTGCTTTTGAGTTTCCTCTGGTTGGTTTTCCCCCCCTCGGGGTAGTCTTTGTTCTCATGCACAGTTTGTTAGCATTGTCTGGGTGCAATTATAAGCAATGCTATACTTCCTAATGGGATTCTGAAGGCCTAATCTGAGGGATGGATAATACATGCCTGCTTCATTTAACTCAGTCTGCTTTGCAGGGAGAGTGAATTTTCAAATGCCAGTAGGCCTAACATAATGTATWTGCTTCTGATTGCAGCACTTTACTTGGCTTCCTATGAAAGCGAAAGTCCCGAGAACCACATTGAAAAGGACAGATGGAAGACACTGAGGTTTGTGTCAGAGGTTACCCGGATCAATAAATAAATTGAATGGGACACAGAGCATGCATCAAACAGTTAAAACCAAATGGCATGTTACATGCTTCAACAGATGGGGCACAGCATRGTTGTAAATCCCCCCTCCAATCTGGGACTCTTGGAAAAAATAGAACAATCAGTCTTTAACTTAAACCCTCTCYGTCCTTCTTTCCCTTAGGAAATGGGAATTTGAATAAGTAATTTTCTATTTTAACTTCTTTTGCTACTCAGTGAAGGAAGAAAATGCTTTSTAAACTCCAAACTTTATAAACTTCCTCATAAGTGCCATACAGAGCACTCTGGATTCCACACAGATGCTTTCACAGCTACTGCATCCCTTTCTTTACCCACCTTCCAGACGGGGCTGAGGTTTGCACAAAGATCACTCTGAGGCAAATGCATTCATGAAACCAGTTAACGATTTAGAGTTCAGGCTAGGGAAAAAATAATCAGCAAAATCCTGTTTTTGGGTTTTTTTCTACTGCTATTGGATTGCAACCTCATCAACTCTTTGATTTTACTAATTATGGAAGGATTCATGAACCATTATGGCAGGGGGGTGTAACAACTCTATCTGATTAATTCCACTCATTTTGAGGAGAAAGCAGAGAGAGAGTTACTCACATCAGGGCACAGACTCTCCACATCACACAGGGTGGCAAGATGAAAACCTGCAGCAACACGAATCTCAGTTTCACAGCTTCCTTATTGCAGTCCCTCTGTCTGAGAAGATTTCCATCATTCTCATGACTGCCTTTACCCATTTGCATTTCCCTCTGCCTTTCAGGTCAGCGCTGCTGGGCAGAGTSTAGAGCACACGGTGTCTGCTGTTGCTGTGCTGTGCGGATTGCCGAGGGGCATGGCTTGGATTATTTCCCTGTGCGCTGAGTGGCACTCAGAATGATGAAAGATGTGCAGTCAGTTGCGATATCGTGGCAGCAAAGATGAAAGAAGTTAATTCAAGAACAAACAGGCAGCTTCGCCCATCTGCCAGATGAGATGAAATCACAGCCCACTCAGCTGGGATTCAGGCTGAAGTATTGATTGAGAATCCTTTGAAGATCTCAGATGCYGCCCATGAATCATTTCACACCTGGATGGAATATTCTTCCTTTCCTTTCGCTGCAGCTTGTGCTACAAGGACTCTGCAGAGCTGCTTCAAGGACTCACGGGAGTTATGGAGGGGAAATATTCACCATTCCTTGCAGTGAMACCCAAGTCTGCATTGAAGAGCTCCCATTCCTGATAAGCTGAATATATCCCAGAARTCTGGGATTACTAAGAAGGGAAAGAAATGGACACAACAAATTGGCTGCTGAGGAGAATTTCTCCCTACCACTGTAATGGTGGCTGGGTTTTTTTTTCTTTTTCCAATGTGTTTTTGAGTTGGCTGCTGGCAGACAAACTCATTATTATTCTAAGTTATTTAAAAAATATAAAGTAATAAAAATCAAGGCTGTGGTAGAAAATACACCTGCTATGAAAGGATAGTAGCTCTACAACTTCTAGGGAGGCTTTTTYTGTAGTTCAGTTCTTTAAAACTAACCACTACATGTTACAGACATTCTTATTTTTACTGTGCGGTTTTGTTACTCCTWATTTTCCATACTTGGCCTTCTTCTTATATTAGGTTGGACAAGCTGGCTTTTCTAGAATAGTCCTTGAGAAACTGGCATACAAACTGTTTTGAAATATGAGAGTGTGTTTTTATTAAGTAATTTTTATAACTGCTTTTTTTTGAAAGGGTAACAGTGGAGAACACAATCCACTTTGATTGAAATAGCAAGATGACAAAAAGAAAAAAAGAGGCTTCTTCTCAACTCCAGCTATGAACAAAACAGTCTTCCTGTGTGTTTGCTTTAGGGATTATATTTATGACTGTGAAGTAGTTTGCTGTGTTACACACCTAATAAGTTTTTAGTAACTCTGAATACTTAGTCACTCTACCTGTCCTAGGAGGAACCTGACTGAAAAAAAATACTGAACAGAACTGTAGCTATAGATCACCCTGGATACAAAAATCAATAAGCAAAGTACATCCTTGGCAAAAAAAGAAATAAAACAAACAAACTTATTTGCAATTATTCTGCTACTGTTGTNAAAAAAAAAAAAAAAAAAAAAAAAAAAAAAGTAAAAATAAATATATTTATTTGTTGCACTGCATCTCTTGAGTTTCCAGGTAAGGTGGTTTTTATGTTCCATCCATGCCTTTTTTCCATCCATGCCTTTTCAGGAAAATATTTTAATTTTGAATTCTGTAGTAACATGCTGAAAAGCCTTCATTAAGGGGGGGGGTACTGTCCTTTGCTGGTACCGGGGGCTGGGAGTCACTGAGTTACATATTCCACGAGGAGCAGCAACAGGGCCTCGAGCCTGACAGAGAAGGTTTCCTCTCCTCCTTTCCCATTCCCTCAGCTGGGGTGAAGGAGAAAGAAGAGACCAGCTCTTGGAAAGGAGAAAGCTGCTTCTGCTGTGCACAGATTTGCCTCCCAGCTTTCATCAGGTGAGGTTTTTCCCATTTTCCTCTCTACATCTTTCCCCTGTTTTTGAGGTTTGTGCCTGGTGCTTGAAAGGGGAATGCAAATCCCCAACCTCTGGCAAGCCAGAGCTGCTCCTTCAGGCATTATTTAGCTCAGTGGTTGATGTTTGAGCTTTACCAYGCACTGTGCCCTCTGCTCCATCCCTTGGTGCAGCCACCGTGCTGGGCTGTAATTCTGACCATGCTGAGCACTGTCGGGCTGCTGATGCAGCTGGAAACAGCCATTCACACCTGTCCATGGTTAATGGGAGAGAAAAGAACTCATTCTTCTGCAGTCGAGCTGCTCCCAAAGGAAACATCACAGGCTCTCAGAAATGAGGAGTTATCAGAACTCATTAACTACAGGCTGAGTGTTCAGGCAGGACTGAAAATCCCAGCTCAGTGCTGACAGATGCTCAGTGTTTAATGGGGACAGAGGCAGCACCGATGTCTCCTGYACAAATGGCTCAAACTTTACTCGTTTCTGTGTGGTGCACTTTCTTCTCGTGGCACAGAGACCAAAGCTCCGGCTCTTATGGATCCGTATGAATCAACTTGCTCAAAAAAGTCTGTAAATGTCTGGCTAAACCCACAAGAACTACACCATCCTTACCCTACTAAACAGCTATTTCCCTGTTCTCCTATTTGGAAAAATCTTCATGGTGTCATTGTGAAAAGAACAGTCAGATGAATGTAAAAATGCACAAGAGCCTATTTACAGCTGTCATGTCTAAAAGAAAAAGTAAGAACCTCTATATAGACGTGGGTATTTTGTATTTGTGTTGGATTTTTTGTCAGCCTTCCCAGACAGACTGTTCTTGACAGAGCTGAAACTGGTACTTGATCTAGCATTAAAAKAGACAAATAGGCTAGTAGCAAAATGTGATTCATTTTCCAAGACTTGTGTTMTTCTAGGGAATATTCCATGTCATTTTGTGAGGCTTTCCTTACCTACACACTTAGTTGTGTGTAGCATACTCTTGTGGGCTTCCTGTACTATTTTTGCTGGAAAAGAGGAATAATCCTTTTGTAGTGCACCAATGTCTGCTTTTTCTCCCAGCTCCTCTGTCTGGTCTTGGCAGCCTCCCTGTTTAAAGGGAAGGCATGTGCTAAGCTGACACTTCACACTCGAAGAACTGATCRAGTTCAGTGAGCTTAGAAGTGAGAGCTTGGTACCAGGACAGGCATCATTTGATACCCACTGACACTTCGTTGTCATTGCACTGTGCTGCATAAAGCTCTTATGAAATGTGGGGTTTTTTTTTCTTTTCTTTCCCCTTTATTAGAAAGTTATAGCTAGAGTATGACCCAAAAGGATGTCTCACTATGAGCCAAGTAACTACTRTGTCCTTTTTGTTCCTTTTCAGGAAGAAAAATCCAAAATATAATGTGAATAAAGCAATTGGCTTTTGTCTGAATGTGAAGGACTCTGTGGGGCCAGATTATCTGCTTTCATTTAGTTTTTCTCTCCCCTGTCTTGTGAATTCCAGAGGTTGGAAGGGGAAGTGGTTCTTAGGGGGACTTCCAGCTGCAGGGGAAAGGAGCATCTGGAGCCAGTGTATTCCAGGGAGCAATAAACCAAGTGAAATACCTTTGGGTGTTACAGCAGGATCCTCTGCAGGTCCCCAAGTCTGGCCTAGTGGTCAAAAGATTAAATAGCTTTCCTGGCATTGGCCAGTCCTTATTGTCTGACAACTCAACAGCATTTGCATGTGGACTGTAAATCCACTGCTTTTTAAATAGGTTTTCCTTGGGAGAAAGGTATATATAGAAATAAATAATTAGGGCTGGGAGAAAATTATTTCAGAAGGAGTCAGACTTTCCCTTGACCCCTTCATCTCTGGACASTTCAGAGAGTTGAATTTTGCTTTTCCACAGAAGTTAGAAGGGGATCTGTGAAGTGATAGAAAAGAGAATCTCTCTCATAAGAAATGAATTGGCATCCCTTTCCTGAGGCATATCACAAAACTGTGGCCAGCAGTGTTTGATAGAAAGGAGTGCCAGCAGTAAAAGTTCAGGTCACAGTAGTTCATTTGACATGCATATGTTGAATTTCAGGTTTGCTGCCTAAGAAACTCAACTCAGAAATACCATAGTGACCGTCTTGTAAAGGGAGTCAGAGATATTTAATATCTGCTGCCAGGCTTGAGAGGAAATAACATCTAATGTCATCAAGAGTAAATTAACAGTATGACAGCAGAAGTTTACGTGAAATCCAAGCAATCAGTAGGAAAAGTTTGGAAAAATAGCATGTGAAACATGAGGTAAAACAAGTAAAGGATATTTATTGGGCTGCATATAAAGTTTCTTCCTCTTGCTGTTGCTAGGGTAACAATCTACTCTGATGCTAATAAAGGAGAACATTACTGTTTCTCCTTAATTTCTGTTTGAACAAACATACAATTTTTTGGGTACTTCTTTCTGTTTGGGAGTTCAGGATCAGGTCTAGAGGAGGAAGTAGCAGGTGATGCTCCTTGACCCCTGCGTGACTCAGTTTGATAATCATCAAAATTAGAACTCAGAGGTTGTTTGCCCCCCATAAAAAATGCTTACACCATTACATACTCTCAGACAACCTCACAGAGAACAGGTTTCATTTGAAGATCTAACCTGAATTTGGAGGGCTGAGCCTTAAGGAGACCTGATCTGTAAATCTCTATTTCAACAGGTTTAGTGAAAACTTAAAACAGCAATACATGTTGAGGTGCTTTTCACAAACGATTAATGAAAATATATTCTGGAGTAATATTGACAGGGTGTGTCATTATTAGATTAAGTTTCAAAAAAAAAGGTAAGTGTATGAGGASAGTGTGTCACAGTGTTAGTTATTTAACAGATAGAATTTTTCTTTCCTCGTACAAAATCAAATTCAGATTCATTCCAGAAGGTTGATTTCATAATATAGATTTTCAGGTGCAACTTTTGATGTGCTATTCWGTGTTTGTTACRCTTAAGAAACAGTCAGTTGCCACCYTTAGAAGTGAAGTGTGAATTTATTTAAGTCCCCTAMAAATTTTGTTTTATATTATAGTAGCATACTTGATTGGATTGTTTAAGTGCTGCTTTTCTTCTCAAAAAATAAAGCTCTTTCCTTTTTATTAACTGCCTTTGGCAGTCATAGCTACATAATGTCTTGTGAAGAGTATCAGTTGGTGTATCAGTATTTAGCTGGCTTTCGGTGAAAGGAAGGGAAGAGCTGCACTTCGGTTATCTGCAGCACGACTGAGAGATCATTTTCAGTTAAGTGTTACACGATTGTTCTGTTTACATCCCTTACTTGTAGTCTGCTACTTTTGAATTCAGTTTTAAAAGTTACAGGGRTCCTCTCYCTAGATGAGAGTGAATGTTTATCCCTCCCACCTGAGGAAGGGCACTGACCCTGCAGGTGACACGGGCTGTTCCTTGGTGGCTCTTCCTTCAGCTCCCCTCTCCCTGTAAACCCTTTTCAGCCCAAGGACTTTCCCGTTTTCAGCATTTGCCTTTCAACGGGTGGTGGATGGGAAACTTTAACCTGACGCAGGGTGCCCTCTTGTGATAGAAATGAAACAAATCCGGGGACACGGGTGGGGTGGGATGAGGAAAGAAGAGCRAAGGTTCCCAAGAAGGAATGTGTTTAGATTATGACCACAGCCAGCAGCCAGCAGCTGTTTTATCTGCACATTCTTCAGCTTCTGACATGTGATATGAAGCCAAGTAGAATTAAGCATCATAATGAATTTCACTGGAATATATTCTCCGCACAACCTCATTTCTCTGAGCTTTTTCCTTGGAAYAGGTACCCTGTAATTGGAATAAAGTTAAAAGCAAGCAGCAGGTAGGAAACTCCATCRTGTTTTGCACTACCTGGAAGAAGAGCTGGCCTCTTTGGAGTAAAGGAAATGAGATTCAGCACATGACAGATGTTCTCTTGTTTAATGCCCTACTGAAAAGTGCTCAGGTATTTTGAAACAGGGGCAAAGTAAAATGCAAAATAAAAAACAAAAGCATCAAGGGCATGATCAGAGTTTTCTACCATTAATTTTGCTGAGTCAAAATTGCACTCATTGAAATGTTTCTTTTGGGATTGGCTATATGTGGTGTATCACTCAACACAAATTTTCTCTTGTCATTCC